AATCCCAGCAGCTCGGGAAGGTGAAACAGGAGGATCACAAGTTCAAAGCCAGCCTCAGCAAAAAGCTAGGTACTAAGCAACTCAGCGAGACCCTGTCTCTAAGTAAAATGCAAAATGGGGCTGGGGATGTGGCTCAGTGATTGAGTGCCCCTGAATTCAATCCTTGGTGCAAAAAAAAAAAATACAAAAAGCAGCTTTTTTTTTGTACCAAGAGATACCTAGCAAAGAAGTATACTTAGCCTCATGTAATTAAAACCTAGAGAATATCCTGTCAAATGTTTACCATTTTGTTAAGTCAGTTCTTTGTGGAATTCTCACTGGAAATATCTCTAGTCTAGGTCTTTAAAAGTTTATTAAAAAACTGTTGTCATATATTATTGAATAATTACAAAGTGTTCTTATTTCTCACATTTTAATAGAATGTTGATATTAAGAAAGAAAAATATGACAGCTGTAAAAAGTTTATCCACTTACATTTCTTTTGAACTTTGTGATTATTCCTATGCATCAGTATTGGGTTATATAATTGCAATTGAAGTGGCCTATTCCATTACTGTCTATGTAATTATACATGTGTTTGTTTCAAAGGGAAGCCTACCTACGTAGGAACTCATAAGTATAATGATGGTATTCCTCTTCTTTGTGTGTCTTTACCTTTGATAAAATTCATGGTTTTCCTTTGTCCTACTAAGTAGATTTGATTGGGAGTAAGAATGTTCCTGATATCCCCCATGGGCAGTTCCAATACAGTGATATGAACAGCCACATACAAGTTGGTTATAAGAAATATATTTTATTTTATAGCAAGACATATGCTGTGAATTGGGATAAAAATGCTAGAACAGACTACCTAAGAGGTTGATGCTATTTTGTATAAATTGTGTATTTTGTTGGCTTTTTGACTGAGCATGAAAATGTAACTTCCATTAGGGAAGGGTAATTTAGGTGCTCAGTATTCAGCAGAAAACTTGTCGGGGCCATAAAAGCTTTTCTGGCTGGTTCCTCGGGTGTTTTCAGAGGAGAGCTGCCCGCCCCTTGCTGATTTTCCCTTTGGCTTCAGTATGGGCTGAATTTACCACTGCATACCTGTTGAATCAATTTGGGGGATCCAGCAGTTAACTGAGTGAAAGGAAGGATTAGTGGCCCTCTGGAGCCCTATTTCAACAGCCAGGTGTCTGTCCTAAACTAGTTAACTGCTTTTGACAGTTGAAGAACCTGGTTTTATTGCCATGGGCAGCAGGTAGTGGTGGTTTGTTTTTGTTTTTATTTTGCCTTCTCTCCACTATCAAGTAGGGCATATCTTCTTTTAAGGGTTAGGTGTTTTTGTTTTAATAGGAGTGGACTGTTGTCTTCCTTCAACCCAGCTTCCATAGATTTTTGTCCTTGTGCTTAGTCAGCATTTGATTTGTGCTCCATGTATGCCAGACACTTGGGTAGCATTGTTTGGCAAGACCCTTTCACTGAAGTCTGGAGGGAGAGGCAGGATGCCCACACAGGGGCCGGAGTCAAAGTATATGGAGACACACACACATACATACACACCCACAGGAACACTGGGCAGTTAGCCCTGAGACCTGGGCTCTAGTTCCCAGATTCCCAGGCAACCCCCACCCAGATCAAAAATCTCCTGACTTCAGACTGCATGAAACATCATAATTATGCTGAGTGTATTTTATAGAGAAAGGATGTATTTGAAAGTCAGACTGATTTTAGGCAGAGCAAATATTTTTCTCTAAGTGGACTGTTTCCAAATTAGGAAGAAGCCTATTGGTGCTTAACAAACCAGTAGGCCTGAAACAACACTTTCAATTCTCAGATTTCATTTCAACCAGAGTCCACTGCCCTGGCTGTGGCTAAACGCTCACTGTTCTCTGCCCTGGAAGTCGGTGCATTTGGAGTCTGTATTTTGCTTTTTTTGTCTCCCTGACTTTTCAATTAATACATTTTTTAAATAGATAAAACAGATCATACTGTGACTTTTAAAATGTCAACAAGCTTGTAAACAGAAATGTAATAAAATGGCTAATAGGAGATTCAATAGTTAATGGAGGGCCTGAAGTGTGAGCAAATACAGTAGCTGTATATTGGAAACTGTGCGAGTGAAGATGGCTTTAGTATTGCAAACTGAGGAAGAAAATTGTTTTTAATTAGCACCTTCATAAGAACTGCTGATTAATACTGTTTTGTTTGGTGAAAAGCTTTCAGCTGAGTAATTTGTACAGCCATTACAACAGTTTTGTTAGAGCGGGACTCCTGTTGTTAAACACAAACAGCAGATGATAATGGTGGAAGATGAGTTTGTCATGTAACAATTTACCTTATTGAAAAAAGCTTTATATAAAACCCAATACAGTAGGTACCAGCAGAAATCACATATTTTAAATCCTTCCAAAATTGCAGTGTTCCATGCTTGTGGGTTTTTTTTTCCCAGGGACTAGAAGCAGATTTTATATCATTTATAAAATTATATACACAATTTAAAGGTGGTGTAGCATGGACAGGCCACTTTCTCAGCAGCGGTTTACATTGGAGCAGTAAAGTGGCCATGTATTCAAACACCTTCTAACTACACAAAGCAGGCTAACAAATGGAAGCCTAATTAAATAATGTTACTCAGATGTAAATTTGCATTGGAACTGGATGCAGGGAAATAAGAATTGATGTTTTTGCTTGAGGTGGGTTTATCACACATAGGATCTGTTTAAAAAAAAAAACTCAACGGAAGTTTAATTAACCTTTTTTTTTTTTCCTGGCGATGTTTTAACTGACCAGAGGAAACGGTGCCCATTCAATGAGACCTGACCAGGGAATAAGAGGCACATTTCCATGAACTCCCATCAGATATTTCACTAGCCAGAAGCATGGGAACTATTTTTTTTTAATACAATGCAATGGTACAGCATATTTGCATTAAAATATTACACTACCCAAGACTGGTAAGAACTGTAAATTATTGTAGTGGCGTAATAGAGCATGATTTTTTTTTTTTTTTTAGACAGGCCTTCGGGGTAATAACCAGGGTTGAGGCTCACGACAGTGCCAAATAAGCTTTAGACAGCATAATAGTCTGCAAAGAAAGCCACAGAGCACTAATGTGAAGGAAGAGCTGTCCACCACATGCAGCAAAAATCACCAAAGGTCATTTTATGGTAGCAATTGTGACATAAAATTGGTGGTCATGCTACATGTCTAATACTCAGCACAGCTTTATAAATGATGGGCCCCTAGCGATGGCTGTCATTAAGTGCTTTCATCATAATAAACTTTAAACTGTTGGCTTTATGAATCGCCAGCTAGCTTCAGCTGTTCGTTGGATGGAGCTTGCAGTGCCTTAAGTGTGACAAGACCTATTAGGAATTGCAACCATGTTTCAAGCGTACTTGGCTTCCCCACTCCTGGGGTGATTGCTGCCTATTAAACGGCGTCTGGGAAGATTTTCCTCCAGCAATCTCTGATCAAGAGCTTTTTTGGGCTTTGACCTGCATTTCCTTCAAGACTTTCTCTGAGGAGTTTTATAAGAGCAAAACTCCAGAGGATTTATAGCCACTTCTGATTAATACCTTTCCAGTTTTTCTAGCAACTCTCCCACTGCTGCATAGAGAAAAGCTTTCATTGTTCCTGAGGTGCTTATTTGTGACCTTTTCTCTGCTTCCTGATTCCCTCTAACGTGTTCTCTCTGTGAAATCCTCGGGGTGGAACCAAGACAGTTGGTGAAGTTGTTACAGCTGGAGAGACAGAGAAGGAAGGAGGGAGTTCTTTTATGTTTTTAAAGGATTCCATGCAGAGCGGCCTGGCCCCGCCCATTTAAATGCCCGCTGTGACGTCACCCGCCGTCCGCGGTACCCAACGCATCCTTAATGAGCCCTCGGTGTAAATTGAGCCGACACATAAAGATTTCATGATTCAAATTACACTTTCATTAACCTTTAGCATGGGAAGTCTTTTAGTTTCTATAAATCTTACAGTGACCTACCGTCTGTCCTACTGATGTGAATAATGGATGTTTGGGGAGTCACTCTTTAAAAACTCAGGGTGTTTAATTTACGAGGGCTAAATACATATTTCAGACTCACTTAGCAAGAACTTTAGCTACTTCTTGATGCTTTTTCTAACTTGGATGTGCCCTCCCGCCCCTCCCCACACCCGTCGTTTTCTTCTGCGTAACAGACGTTTGGGCGCTGGCGAAAGCCCCTGTCTTCCCATTCTCCTTAGTCTGCCTTTTTTACGTCTAGGGGTGGTGAGGGGAACGTCTCAGGTGTGCCCACTGCACAATTAAATTATCAAACCTCCGAGGGACGGATTAGAACTCAGCAGGGAACACCTGGGGACTCCGGGGTGGCTCTCGCCATTGCCAAGGGAGGGTCTGCCCACTTGGTAGGTCTCGGTCCCAAACTTGGCTTCCCAGATAAAGTGTGGCGGGCTCAACTCTTCTTCTCAAGAGGAGGTTTCCACGGCTGTCAGAGTGAACAGGAAAACCATTAGCGACTGTGTCAACCCGAAGGGAAAACAGGAGTTGGAGGACTCGTGGCTTTTCGCCTACAAAGCCGTGCGCCCGCCCCACCCCGCGAGCCAGCCAAGAGTGGACAAGTGCATTTGGAGGCCGCTGCCCAGGTGCAAGGGGAGGGGGCGGGGCGGGCTGCAGAAAGCCCAGAACAAAGGCGCCTCCAGGGGCCTGTGCGAGGTCACCTGCTGCCTCCAGGGCAGATTAAGGAGGACTGGAGAGGGCACTTGGAGGAAACGCTGGTGCTGCTGTACTTCTTTGGGAAATCAATTCGTCCCACCCTAAATAGGGCATTTTTGCCTTCCCTCTTTGGGAGTCCCAGGCCAACGGGCTTCCAGGTCTCAGAATCGGGTTCTCAACACGCCCCCCCCCCCCAGTTTGCAAAGTCTCCACCTTTCCCTGCCCGTGCCCTCTGCGAGTCAGTGTCTCTCTGTGGTCTCCACCTCCCCCCCCCCCCGCCAGCCCACCTCCGCTTTCTGCCACGTCTCACTTCCCTTTTCTCTTCTCAACGCGCCCTCCCGCCCCTCTGTCCAGGCCCCTTTCATCCTTGGGCTCGAAGTGGAACTTTCCCCCACTCCCTTACTTGGAGATTTCTTTTTTCCCAGTGACCTGGGCTGCACTTTGCCCCCGCTCCCTGCCTGCCAATCTCCTCGGGGGTAGGGCCTCTCTCTTTCCATTCTTGCGACTCCCCCTCCTCGAGAGCCCCGGGAGGCCCAGCCTCCCAGAATCCGATCTTCCCCCCAACGCAGCAGCCCCCCGCCGAGGAAGGAAGAGGCCTCCTCGGAATGAATGGCTGGTAAGGAGGTTTTTAATTTGTCTGGAGCCGAAAGTAAAAGGCCTCCGAGCAGCGACCCTCCCTCGCCTGGTTTGGCAGCCCCTCCACGCTGCGGCCAGGGCCCTCCACCTGCCGGGTGGGCGCTGTCACCCCGCCACCCTAGATCAGGGCCCGGTGAAATGGGGCGGAGGGATCTGAAAAGGTTGCAGCTGTGTCAAAAATCGCCCACACGCTCGAGGAGGAGGACTCTGCTTTGTAAATTCTTTAATTTACAAATTTAATTTAATTTACTAGGTTGTTTTGTTTGCAACCTACCGATGTGAGAAATTTGAAAGTTTAACATGTCTCTGTCAGACCGGGTCAGGAAGTGAGCTCAGGCCATCAAGGTCTTCATTTGCAATCTGCCTCCTGATGGCTGAGCTCTCCTTGAGCTTGGAAGAATGTCACTGTGCTGTCCCCAACACAGAAGACAGTACATTTAAAAGCTTTGCCCACCTGACCTGTGGTTCCACCTCCAGGTGCATTAGCCTTCATTTCCTACACAGACTTTATTTTTAGGAGCAGAGGCCACAGCCCCGACCCAGCCTGTTTTGAGTGGATCTCTCCTCTCTGTCTCTCAAGCGGGCATCTCAGGATGCTGAGAGGGAGGAGAATGAACAGTTCCTGACTTCTGGTCAACCCATTTCTGTAAGATCAGACTCCCTGAAGGCAGACTGGATTACAGATCCCAGGGCCTCCAGTTTGCAGCCCCCGCTGGCTCAGGTGCTGCTTCTGAGCCTTCCCAACACACCCCCAGCCTACAGATCAGATAAACCATACTACAATGGCTATAATATTCTCAGTGTGAATGTGATACTGAAGGGATCTATCCAGCTCTGCCTTGTGGTAGATTGGGGGGGGGGGGGGGTAGCCATAATATTTTCCAGTTCCTCCCATCAAGAAATGGGATTAAAGCTGGGCAATTGGGTAAGTTGAGGCAGGAGGATTACAAATTGGAGGCCAGCCTTAGCAATTTAGCAAGGTCTTAAGCAACCTGATGAGACCGTGTCTCAAAATAAAACTAAAAGGGGCTGGGGGTGCAAATGAGAGGTAAAACACCCCTCCTTCAACTCCTGGTACCAAAAAGAAAGAGAGTGTGTGTTTGTTCATTTCTTCCCCCCTTGATTCTGAATTTGGCTTGGCTTGGCTTGGCTTGGCCAATGAGGCATTAGTAAAATGCAAGTGCAAGCAGAAGTTTGAAAATCCCTTGGGCATTTGTGTGCCTTCTCTTGGGTTTTTTGGCACCCAGCTACCATGTGAGAAAGCCCAGGCTCTCCTGCTAGGTGCTGGAGACATGTGGCACAGTCAACCCCACTGTCGAGCCATGAGCAAAGGCATCCAGGACCAAATAGCCCCAGGAGATCCAGCTGCTGAGTGTAGCTGCAGCTGGGGCTGTTTGTAGGGAAGCCAGCAGAAAAACTGCCCAGTTGGGTTCAGTCCAAATTGCCTACTCACAGAATCCTGAGTTAAAAATGGTAGTGATTTTAAGCAACTAAACTTTAGACAGTTTTTTTTACACAGCAACAGATAACTGATGACAGTCCTCTATCCCTCTGTGAGATACTTTTCTGCATCTTTAAGTGTCCCTTGAGGTACCAAAACTTTTGATATGATGCTTTGCCCAAAATGTGTTGAGTTAGCTGCTCATGGAGTTGCTGTAATCCCAGTGACTAGGGAGACTGAGGCAGGAGGATCACAAGTTCAAGGCCAGCCTGGGCAACTTAACAAGACCTTGCCTCAAAATAAAATAAAAAGGGCTGGGGTTGTAGCTCAGTGGTAAAGCACCCCTGGATTCAATCCCCAGTACCACAAAAAAAAAATGAATAAGCAAATAAATGTGTCCAGTTGCATTTAGAAAGCATAAAAATAGAATACATGTGTTGCAGGCCTTATTTACCCTTCAGACAATCATAGTGTTATAGAGGCAAGTCATTCCCAAGCTACCAGGAAAAGACACAAGAGAAAAATGGACTGCAGGAGAAAGAACAATGATCTCAGAATCCCTAGATTCCCAACTGGGCGGTACCAGTAACTGGTGATTTTAGGCAGAGTCTCTGAGTATCAGTTTTCCCCTCTAGAACATAGAAAGGATGAACTGGATGAATTGATGTCCTATTTCATTCTGAAGTATTTAAGGTAAAAACAACCCATCATCAGGGCCAGAGATTTTGGTCACCTCAGGGAATGAGGTGACCCAATGTACATGTAGAGAATTTCCTGGTACTGCCAAGGAGTTGTCAGATGCTAGCTTGACCCTACAGATTACTTAGCACTTCTCAAGGGTGGACCCCAAAGTTTTATCTTGCTCTGCCCCAAGTTGAACACTGGGGAGCTGTCCCAGGTCCCACAGTGGAGAAAGAGCTCTTCCATCTTTATTCTTATCTAATAAATATCCATGTAGATACCAGAGATCTAAAAGTAAACACAAAAGATCCTGTTACAGGTTGGGGGCTAGTTAAAAACAACAACGTGGCTCTCTATAAGTAGCTTGCATTGCAAATTCATATGTGCCAGGGCATTTATAAAAACAGTTGTAAATCGTACTAAATTCTATGAAAAAATAGGAAAGGTTTCAGATCCTTCTTCAGAAGAGATGGTTGCAGAATGCTTCCCTGAGGGGTCTTTAACTGAGATGGAGCCCATCATGCAGGAGACAATGGTGGGAGGAAGGAATGTGGAGGCAGGCTCTGCCAAGGCCTGAGCTTGCTGTCTCTAAGAGAGAGATAAGAAGCCAGGTTCTTGTGCAGAACGATGTAGAGTGGGCAAGGGCCAGACTGGACAGGATTTAGTGAGTTTGAATTTTATCTGGAGTCTGAGCAGCCGCGGGAGGGTTTGGAGTGGTGATAATGACATAATCAGATGTGCATTTTAAAAAGGTCACTCTGAATGCCAGATGGGAAGTAGATTAGAAGCGGAGAGTCCAGTTAGGAGAATTCTGTAATGTAGAAGCCCTGGCAAAAGAGAACAGCAGTTTGGATCAGGGACATGAGTGACAATAGGGTAAGAAGAGCAAACCAATTCCAAGTGTGCTTTGGCTTAGAACTACCAGGGTTCCTGTGTCTTTCTCATAAAAGCTTGGGGGCAGATAATGTCAGCCTAAAAGTCTGAGCCCACTGTTGTCAGTATCCGAGTCCCTTTGACCTAGGGATCAGCCTTTCCCCACCTACCTGAAAGTCCCAGGATGTGCAGAGATGTGGGAGGAGGAGCTACTGAAACTTCCACCTTTTTCCACTACCCATTCTGTAAGTTTGGGGGCGCTTGGGAATGGGAATCTTCATGTCCTAGAGCTGGTATCTTACCTGGTCAGAGACAGAGATGGTGTGGCCAGCCTGGTGGGGGCAGGAGGGTGAGTCCACTTCTATTCTTTCCACGTAAATTTCCGGCTCTCATTCACCTGTATCTCTAGGCATCCAGTGCTGCAGTGGAAAGGCCCATTCTTGGGGGACCCAAGAAAAGACCCCAAGAGGTCAGAGACTAGACTCTGTTCAGGTCATGGCCCCTCAGAGAGCTTGATAAATGCAGAGCTAGTCTGTGACCTGCTTTAAAGCACATAGGAAAGTTCTTGAGTTGGAGAAAAGGTGCCATTGACAATAAAATTCCAACAAGAACCTCTTTCCCTTTGCTCAGGGGAGAGCTGCTGTTCAAAGAGGCGCCCTTGGGTCAGCATCCTCCATGGCCCTTGGTGGGAAGGATCTGAGAATGAGCCTTCATGGGGTGGGGTAGTGAAATGGGACAGGAGAGGAGTAAAGGGACCCCTAGAACTGAGAAAAGGAGGCTGGGTATGGTGGCACACGCCTGTAATCCCAGCAGCTTGGGAGACTGAGGCAGGAGGATCCTGAGTTCAAAGCCAGCAGCAGCAACTTAGCGAGGCACTAAGCAACTCAGTGAGACTCTCTCTAAATGTAATATTAAAAAAGGGCTGGGGGGCTGGGGATGTGGCTCAGTGGTTAAGTGCCTCTGAGTTTGATCCTTGGTACCAAAAAAAAAAAAAAAACTTGGAAAAGGAGCAGAAGTAAATCCAAGTATCAAAAGTCACGTGAGCCACTTGTCACTTTCACAATGTTATCTGGATCTGGAGAGCTATCCTCCTTGGCATATGACACCCTTGATAGCATGTCCCCCTGTGCACAAAAATGTGAGAATGGGGCAGGTGGGAGTCCCACCTACATGGTGCTTACAATCTAATTGGGGAGACAGAGGGTGTCCTCAACTAAGACAGATCTGTGGAAAAAAACCTGCAAAGGGCAGGTAGAGATTGAATTAAGAAGAGATTGCATTGTGGGAGTGGAGGCTGAGTTTGCCTTAGACCTGAGAGTCATAAAAGTAAGGAGAGAGGCCCACCAAGGGCGTGAAGCTCATAAGCTAAGGCAAAGAGCAAGATTTCAAGTTATGTTGACATGGCAGGAATGAGGGCTAAAAGAGGTAAAGACAGATCCACTCACTCATCCCACAGGCATTCATCAAATGCCTAACAGATGTCAGACAGAGAGTGAACAAATGACAGTCTCTGATCTCAAGGAGCTGCCATTCCAGTAGAAGAAAGGCAAAAGATGTGTCAACAAATAAGGCTGCTCAAGTTGGATGCAGTGCATTGAGGACAATAAAGCAAGATGATATCTTAGGAAGTGACTGGGCCTCCTTTAGATCAAAGGCTGAGAAATCTCTCTCTAAGGAGGCAGCATTGTAGTGGAAATATAAGTGGCACAAGATTGAAGGTAAGAGTGTTCCAGGCAGAGGCAATGGCAAATGCAAAGGCCCTGAGGCAGCAGCAAACCTGCAGAGTCCTACAGGTGAAGCAAAGTGAGGGAGCAGTGTCATATGAGCGGAGGAGGGTGCAGGCCTAATCTTGTGGGGCCTCATAGGCCATGGTGGGGAGGGTTTTATTCTGATAGGAAGAGAGTGATATACAAGAGAGGAACTAGGAGTCCCAGCAGAGGCTACCATAGTGATTCTAGCAGGAGATGACAGTAGTACCCAGAGCC